ATATAACAAATTATGTATTATTAATTGTTAATCATTAAAATTTAATAATGTATTATAAATAATGTTTAAATATCATTGCGTATCAAATGTATTAATTTTCAAAGTAATTAATATGTAATTTTTATATATATCTAGCATATTGATACGTTAAGCCTTAGTTATAAAAATTAATAAGAGTAGCATAATATATTATTAAAAAAATAAAAATCATAATGTAAAAAGTTTGACTTTGAAAGCAGGCTTTTAATGAGAAAAATCACTTATGAGACATTTGAATTTAAAAAGTTACCTTAAATATAAAAGAAAAATGAATAATTATAGGGATTTAAATAATTGGTATGTATCAATTAATACAAATCAATACTTTAAATCTTAATCTTAAGTATAAAACTATTAAAAATTTTATACAAGTAATATATTATAATACACTAATCATTTAAGTTTAATGACATGTTACACACAAGATTTAAGGTATTAATACATATCAATTTTTTTATTCATCGATATCAAAATGATTTAGATATTCTTAATAAGTTTAAACATTAATGTTTCTCTTAATATATGTATACTTGAATCATCAAAGTGAAAAAATAGAAAAAGAAAAAGAACATTGATAGTTAAAAATTCTATAAATACAATTTTTGTCTCTAATATATCAATACTTTGAATTTTATTGTTGGAATTAATAAGAATAATGATTGGGAGTAATACAAATTTAAATTTAAGAACATAAAAATTATCATAAAAAATATAATGTATTCTCGTATAGATTAGTATCATGCCTATATTAGTTATTTCACCTATGTTACATGTTCATAACTTCACAACTAGTATACATTAGTTCATTAAAATTAATGTGTATTCATATATTAAATCTTGGCATGGGATATAAAATCATTAGTAAGAAAATTTGAATATTTATATTTAAGTTCAAAGATAATAAATTTATAATTACATCATAACTTGTCATGGTTAGATTTATTTTGTATCGTAAATTTTAAAACAATTTTATTTTTAATAAATGTTAAAATAAACAATAGTTATTTTCTAAAAATTTGGAGAATAAAAATAATTATAAACATTTTAATGAGAGAAAATATGAAGGGTTATTATATTAAAAACATAATGTACTCTCATTATATCATTTTGTATCATATGCTCATATTGGTCATTTCACCCATACGATATATTCATAACTTAAAAAATGGATATATATTAATTAATACAAATTAATGTATGTGAATATTTTAAATCTTAACCTTAGATATATATGCCACTAGTAAAAAGATTTAAATCTTTATATTTAAGTTTAAAGACAACAAATATACGATTAAACCATTACTTTTTATGGATATATTTATTCTAGATCTTAAGCTTTATGACAATTTTCTTTTCTTGATGAATTTGTCAACAAATGCTAAAAAAATGATCATTAAAATTAGTATATTTATAAGTGTCAAAACAAATTATTATTATTTTAAAATAATAATGAAGCTTTGCTTTGAAAGTGGTTATGAAGATTGCTAATGGAAAAGGACAAGTTATAGACTAAGGTGATTATAAGTATTCATGGACAAATGCTTGATGAATGGGACATTGGAGTTCTAGTTAGGGATACATGAGCCTCTCTCTAAAAATCTATACATGCTATTCTTCTTTCTTTCTTGCCTTTTATGATGTATAACATTTGTTCTTTTAATCAAGTGAAATTTTAGGAGCATAATTAGGTAGGGGATGTGTTTGAAAGAACAATTTCCTTCATTGTATTCCATTTTTTTTTAAAGATGAGCTAGTGTCTACTTTTTTTATTCCCTTAGACTCAGACTCTAGGATTAATTGGGACTTGGGTTTTAAAAAAATATTAAAAACTCTAAAGTCCATAGTGTTTCAATTCTAATTCAGATTTTAGGAGAAATTATTTTGGACTTGGGGATGAGAGATAACAAGATATGGATTGACTTCATGTGGTGTATTTTCATGTGCCTATGCCTACTTTTTCAATGCCTTAGTGTCACAAGTGACTCCTTCATCGTGCCATCAAGCACCTACCGTAAGCCATCAGAGTGCCAACCGCGTGCCTTCATGGTGTCAACATGTGTGTCATGGGTGGGCTTTGCATGTATTTTGTAAGGGGGGACCGCCAATGGCGTTATTGTAATTACATAGTATGATTTTTCATCCTTTTGATGTTTCCTATTATCACTCCCCCAAAAGCTTAACGTACTCTTTGAGGAGAGGTAGGTAGTCGAGTGAGTCATGAGCATGTAAAGGTTAAGCATGAGATTCCCTCGACACTGAACTGTGTGCTTATGCTTGACATCCATTAATGCAATACAATTTGCCTTTTATCTAATTCATGTGCCATCTTTGTTGCCTTTTCTTGTGTTGTTGCTTATTGCTTAGGCTTACTCATCGCATTCGAGTGCCGCACGGGGTCCCAACGACTAGCACTGTGACATTAGTGCAACCCTCTAATAGCATGAGGTAAGACTTTTTAGTCTTGAAAGTTTAGGGTAAATCAATTCCTCTAAGGATTGGAACTTTTTGTTGGAGAGCTTTTCAAGAATGTATAGTACTTGTAACTTTTTCCATAGAAAGACCCAAGTGGTTCTTATCTCTTAATTGGTGTATGGCTAATGGTGAAAGTTGTTATCACTTATTAATATCCAATCCTTTTGTTTTAGATATTTAGGTTTACTTTTTCTCTTTGCTTGATTACAAGTGGACCTCAAGAAAATATAAAAAGATTATTTGCTTATTCCTGTTTTAGGTGGCCAAAGAAGAGGGGTAAAACTCTTTCAAGATGTGTTAGACCTACCACTTATTAGACAATTTGGGAAAAAAGGAACTCAATGGTTTTTTTTTTTTGACAAAGAAAGGAATAACATTATTGAAGCAGTTACTATTAGAGTGGTATAGTGGATGAAATTTCTAGAAATGTTCAAGGAATCTCTATAGATATGATCAAAAGGAATTAGCTGATTCATCCCCTGTAAAAACCAATACCAACCCCATTTTCTCCACCAGTTTCTAGTTTTATCAAACTAAACTTTGATGGCAATAGTGAAAGTAACATGGGGTCGTTTGGCATTGGAGGAACCTTTAGGTTGTGTTTGGATACAACACAAATGAATTTACGCTGATGCAAAATTATGACAATGCAAATGATTTTAGTGTAAGTTCTAGCCTGTTTTTGTTTTAAATTTAAGCTTATTTTGTTTGATTGTAATACAAATAAAGGAAATTAAGACATGAAGCATAATAAAATAAAACCCAAAACAAAATTAAATGAGAATTTGCATTATTTTTTCATTTGCACTCTCATGCATTTTTACTAGTGCAAATAAAATTGCACTACAACCAAACACAACCTTAGGAACGAAGATTGGAGAGCAATTGCTTTATTTTCCAATCCTATTAGTGTTGGTGACTCACTCCGAGCTAGGATCTTGACAGTGGTGGAAGAGATGAATAAGGTTAAGGAGATGAATTGTCGCAAGCTCATTGTTGAAGGGGACTCAAAAATGGTTATAGATTGGCTACAAATAGAAGAAAATGGTTTATAGAAGTTCGCTAATGAAAAAAGATTGTTCAATTGGCTAGCACAAGGGTTGGAAGTTCAATTGTAGTAAGTAAAAGAGAAGTGTAAATTCCTTTACGAATACTCTATCTAAGCAAGGGATGGGGTGGGAAGGGAACAAATGTTTTGGGCTATGTTGTAATCTTGTCTTTTTTTGGGCACATTTACAAAAATTCAACTTGTGCCAATATTGTATTGATTGCATAACAATATATTACAATGGATACAAATGGATATGATGCACCAATTGGTAAAATCTCTATTTTTTTTTTAACAAATCTTCTTAACTTAAATCATTATACTGTTTGTTTTAAGCATAGTTGGAATTCTTTCTTCACTCCTAATTTGCAAAACCAAAGAAAAATATGTAAAGAGGTAATTTTATTTTTCATTTAATCATCATGTTCAATTGATGTATGTTGTGGCTCAATTTGTGATCTTTATTAGATTTGTGCATTTTCTTCAAAGAAAGTAGAAAAGACCAAAAATTAAAAAAAATATATTTTATATGTTTTAAATGATACTCATGGTATAAAATAATTTTATTTTAGTAGATTGAAAGCTTAAACATTATTTGATGCATTGTTATTTGTTAATGTATCTCTTTATATAAACTATTAAACTCTGCATTTATTATGTATTTATAGGATTTATGAGAAATTCCCTAATAATATCTAATTCTATCCATATATTTTTCACCATATTCATGTATATCCAAAGTGTCCAATACATATTCACATCCAAGCTTCAAAGTGCAATAGTCGATACAATGTTTTGAACCTTTAAATACATGTATTCAATCTTTCCATCATTTTCAATGTTAATTAAGTGTATCCCAATTTATGAAGCAAAAAAAAGTATATCCCAATTTATGAAGCAAAAAAAAGTATATCCCAATTTATACTTCACATAAACCATTAAAGTATTTCTGACCAAGTAAAACTATTAAAATATGTATTTTTTATATTTAAAGACTTATTTTTTATCAGTGATTTATAAGACTTATTTTTAGTCATCAAAAAATTATCCTTGATGTTACTGATATATTTTTAAGTTTGTTCGACTTTTCCTAAGCATTCCATGCATATCAATCTTTCTACCATACCCATACGTGTCCAAAATGTGTCTATGATAAATCTCCTAAAATTGCCTTTCCAATACTCTTCATGCTTCTAATACATTAAACCTTCCTTTCCTCCTCCCTCTCTCTCTCTCTCTCTCTCTCTCTTCCCACTCTGTCATTTATTGCAATTAGGTTTAACCAACCAGGTAGGAACATGTGACAGCATAAGAAAAAACCCACTTCAACCCAACCCCATATGAACCCTAAACGCAACCAACCATAACAGAACCATAGACAGAGAGAGAGAGAAGAGAGAGAGATTGGCATCTCCCCTTTGAAAGTGATAATGGTACAATATTAAAAGCTAATCGGTTGAAAACTTGGAATGATATCATAATTAACAAAAGTAAATCCCTATATGAATCCTGCTATCAGCAAGTACATAATTCAATGGCAAGCTCCTTTGGAAGCAACCAACTTCTCTACTAGTGATACAAGTCTACAACCTAAACTATTTTACCCCTGCACTCCCTTAACGCTTAAGTATGCGTACGTAGTTCCCTCCAAAGGAGACCAACATGCTACAGCGTTGTGTTAGACCATGGAACTGGATCATTTTCACAAGTATGCGTATTCTTTTCCCTTGTAGAACAAATGAAAAGCCCCGTTAATTTAACTAAATATACTTCAAGCATCAGGGACATTCAAGTTCTTGAAGAGCTCGGGAAGGTGGGCGTTTGTTAGTTTGGTCCTCTTGCTAATCTCGCGATGCTTCTTCTTGGGCTTTGACTTGGGTGCAATGCCATGCACTTGGGCCATAGCCCGCCTCTTGGCAGTGTTGGTTGCAGGCTTCATCCCATTCTTTTGGAGGTCCTTTTCTATGTCAACCATATCTACTGGCAGCTTCATTTCCCTGAATAGCTGCTTTAGGTCATCATCCACCTTGATCGGAACCCTAGGATCATTTGGGTAGGCTATGTCTTCTTGTGAATCAAAATTCGACAGCAGCCAAATCTGGCCTGCAGCCTTCAAAGCCTGCACAAAGAAGTATATATTTGTTGTAAGTACCGTCTATCTTGACTTTCTAAAATTACCACTGTATTTTTGGTCCTGTAGATGGTGGGAACAGGTTGGTTAGTCAGGCTATCTAGTGAGCTCTTAAGAAAAGTAATCCTTTTACTGATAAAAAAACAAGCGTAATCTCTTTTATATGCTAAATCGAAAACTAGCAATAAAAGGAAAAGAAACACCTACCAAGGTAAAATATATTGGTATCACATATGATATAGGTAGCTTATATACAGATATGTGTTGCAATATAACGCATGGATACATTGGAGAAATTCTTACAAATCCCTAGGAGTAAGCATTATTTGATTAAAACCAAAATTTTTGGTTTTGGTTCAGTTTTCTCTTTACAATTTTGGATTCAAAATTTTGGTTTAATCGGTTTCATTTTTAACCAAATAAACCAAATGTTCACCCCTACAAATCACACAAATACGTCAATAACACTAAATCTAAGGTTGAAATAACTAACTATAAGGCATAAACATATAAGAAATGTACACTTTAATAGTTTTTATGAAGAGATGAAATACAACATGTTAGATACCATACAATACTAATAATACATAAAATAATGTTTTTTTATCAATAATGGGTAATGCTGTGTTTGGTTGCAATGCAAATAAATTTGCACTGATGCAAAACCATGGCAGTGCAAATGATTTGAGTATAAATTTTGACCTATTTTTGTTTCAAATTTTAGCTTATTTTGTTTGATCACATTACAAATAAGGTAAATTAAAACATGAAGCAGAATAAAGTAAAATCCAAAACAAAATTAAACAAGAATTTGCATTTTTTACATTTGCACTCCCATGCATTTGTACTAGTGCAAATAAAATTGCACTGCAACCAAACACAGCCTAAGCTTTATTAATGATTCAAAGCAAGCCAAGTATAAGTACAGGGAGAGAGAGAGAGAGAGAGAAGCCTTCTTAGCCCTCCCATAGAGTTTCAAACATAAAACAAACTAAAATCAAATCAATTACATCTGAGACCAAAACAACGAGACACTATTCACCCCTTGTTAAACATCAGTAAGACAATAAGCACTTCTTTTGACCCAAATAGGGTGGCAGTTGAGCAGGTTTGGGTGGGTTGGGTTTGGGTTGAGCTTCAACCCAACCAGTCTAACCCGCCAACCCTTTAATGACCCATTTAGAACAAAGTAAATGGGTTGAGTTCAACCCAACCCATTAGCTTTTTAAATTCAAATTATAGAAAATTACAGGAAATGCAAAAAAAAAATGAAATTACAGGAAAATAAAACAAAAATTATAGAAAAAAGAAAAATAGGAATAATAGAAATTGCACAAAAAATATATAAGTTACAGAAAACACAAAAACAAAAACAAAAAATCTAACACAATGGGCGGGGTGGGTTCAACGGGTTGGGTTGGAAATGATCAGCTTACTAATGTTCATATTCCTTGCTCTTTGTATTCCTTCCATTACCGCCGCCAATAACTCCCCAGTCACCTACTCCAATTGGTCCTAGGAAAAAAGCAATTATTTTCACTTATCCCTAAACACACCTCCAATGCCTGAGGACTTGGGATTTCCAACACTACTTCCATCGAAGTTCAACTTACTTAATAAAACCACTATTTGGGGGGCGGGGAGCATAGTGGAGTTGAGGCCTCCTTAAATGGGACTGAATTAGCAACTTCCTTCCAGTGAGTGTAGACCACCTCTATGCTAGTTTCTTTATTACTCTCCTTGTTTGAAAAACACTCTTGAGTTCCTTTCTTACCAAATAGTATGGCAGCCCATACACATCTCCATACTATCCTTCCCCTTTTCATTGGCCAACTGAACATTGTAGAGGCAAAGAAACTTTGCACATTTGGTGAGGGAGTCCACCTACACCAGAATAAAGAAAGAAACAATTAGGAGGAGAAAATTGTAAGTATTTCAATGGCCAATTGGACACCTCACACCCCAAAATATTTGCACACTCAGATACCTCCCCCTCCTCTATGTTAATCCCCACCATACAGCTTATATCAAACTTCACTTTTAAATTTTGCATTTGCTCAAAAAGTTGTACAAGTAGTTTCAAGTTCCTAGCCCACCTCAAATCATCCTCTTCACGAAAAAGCATCATACCATCTGCAAATTGTAAATGAGTAAGAAGTACCCCCTCCCTTCCAACTCTCCAACCCCTTATTAAATTTCTTGAATATTCTCTAGAGATTAATCTCCCAAGAACATCTACTGCTAAGGTAAAAGGGAAGGGAGAGAGGGGTTCCCCTTGTCAGATACCCCACAAAGTAAGGAAAAAGTCCACCACTGTTCCATTCATCAGGATAAAGTAATGGCAAGTCCTAAGGCATCCCAACACCCATTTACACCATCTGTCCAAGGTCAAGCTTGCAAACCACTCCTTTCTTCCCAGCTCTCTTCAAGTCCTCCACACTTACGTTTACTATTAAAATTTGATCAGCTATTTGTCTCCCTTTCACAAAAGCCCCATGATTAAGTGCAATGATGGTAGGAAGGGCTAGACTAATCCTAAGAGACATCACCTTTGCTATAATCTTATACAAGCTACTCACCAGGATAATTGGAGTTTAACCCCAGATTAATTACTCCTCTCTTGTAAAATTCATCAAACACTAATTGAAGGTCTTCTTTCAAAATATTCTAGCACTCTTGATAAAATACCATTGTGAACCCATCTGGCCCTAAGGCTTTTGCTTTATCCATAAAAAATACTACTTCCTTTATTTCCTCCAAATCAAATCTTCTTTCTAACCAATCATTGACCTCAATCTCTAACCTTGGCCACTCCAATCCTTTTTACCCACACTTTGCCATTTAGGGGCTTCTAAAAATAGATTTGAAATGATCCACAAAAGCTCCAACTATCTCATCTTGTTGCATAATGGTTGAACCCTCTACCACTAACTTAGCTATGAAAATTTTCCTTCTTCTCTTGTTCGCCACAACATGAAAGAATTTTGTATTCCAATCTTCATCTTTTATCCACTTATGCCTTGATTTCTTGTCTCCAACTTATTTCCTCTTCGTATAAAACGTCCTCCAATTGATTCCTCAAAGTCTGTCTTTGTTCCTTATCACTTTCCTTAAAAGAACCCCCTTCTTTCACGTCTAATTCATAAATTTCATCAATCACAGCTTGCTTCCTTTCTTCTAATCTCCCAAACTCCGAAGTGTTCCATTCTTTAAATTTGGTTTTCAAATACTGAAGCTTCTTATGAAAAACTCATTCCTTTCCACTTGACTCTAGGTTCACTTTCCTCCCACCAATACTTAACTCTTTTGATAAATCCTAAATGGCACAACCACATATTTTCAAATATAAACAAAGATGGTCCAGCACTTCTCAACTCCCCTCCTTTGAAATCAAAATTGACCAATGGTCAAAAGTTACCCTGGGCAAAGCTCTAGACACCAACCCTCTCCAATCTAGTGAGAATAGAAACTATCCAATTTAGAACAGATTGAATTCATTTGGAGACTAGACCAGGTAAAATTACTGTTAAGTAATTGCACCTCCTTAAGCTCATAAGTACTCACAAAATGATTAAACTTCCTCATACTTGTCATCACCCACTGCCTCAAGTTGTTAGTTTCATCTATGAATTTGATTACCTTAAAATCCCCCCTATGCATCAAGTCCTTCCCACAGTCCTCTAATATCACCCAATTCTTCACATTTCATTTCTCTCCCTATAATCATTAAAGCCATAAAGATTTGTCAATACCCATTCAAATCCATCCTCTACTTGTCTAAATTTAATAGACACTGAGAACTTACCCATAAGTTCTTCAATACCTACTAGCACTTCACTTCTCCACAATATCACTAAACCACCTAAGAATCCCCACGATGGTGCAACTCCCATTTAATCTACCAGCTTGGATTCTAGATCTAAAACCACATCCAAGTTTTCTTTCCTAAGCACCTCCTTAATTATTGATCTTTTCATCGCACTCCCCAGAACCTACTTGTTCCCTTTCCACTTTTCCCTTCTCTCACTGAACATTTTGTCCCCCTTCACATCCAACTTCACTCAATTTCCTTTTCCCCACTTTTGTTCTTTTTTCCTTCTTCTTCAATAAGACTTTCAAGTCATTTAGATCCTTCAATTTACATCCTAGCTGTCTAACAAAATCTGCCACCTCTACTAGTTCCTCCCTCTCTTCCTCTCTATTCACTCTATCCTCTCCACTCTCCTCCCCTCCCTTATTTACCTTAGTTTCTTCTTCACTTGGCTTACCCATTGCTTCCTTCTACAATTCCTTCTTTTTTAACCTTCCAGTAACATCTCTATAAGTTCCCAATTTTTTTTTCCCTAACCCATTTCTTCCTCTAAGACAATTCCTTCCCTTCTCCCCATCACTTCCCCATTGTTTCTCGCATCATCATTATCTCTGCCATTGGCTTCCCATGCTGAATCTTGGATGAGAATTTTGAACAAAAGCTTCAGACACAAAGCAAACATTAGTAACTAAACTCGAATTGACAAGGTTACATGGGCTCTGTCTAAGGGGGGCCATAGTGACTAAAGAGAAACCAACGGTTAGCTTTCCTTGTTTGGTGGTGTGAAAATCACCTTCCCCCCCAGTATGGTTTTGTTTAGGAAGATTTCCCGTCTCCTTTTCAATCCATATATTACTTCTAAATACCTATGGTTTGCCCCTATCTCGTGCAAACCTATCCTGCCTCTGATGATCCTCAGCTATTTCTTACGGACACCCTGCATAAATTTCTTATTCATTCCTAGTTCTTCTGTTTCCACACTTCAGTTTTCCTTCCCAACATCCTTATTATGTGTTATTGCCGACTGTATAGGGGTAGTTTAGTCCTTCTATTTATGTTCAAGTTTATGTGTAATGTTTATGTTAAGTGATGTGCCCTATACTTCAAGTAAGGACATGTTTTTCTTTTGTTTTAATTTAATAGAAACATATAAATATAACCTGGCCAACTAGAGATG